ACACACACACACACACACACACACACACACATATAAAGAGAGAGAGACACCATGGATCAATAAATATATATTTATGGTCAATATACACATTATCTCACATGCTTATGATTTTAATGATGCAAACACTTTACAACCTCTCTCAACATTTTTAAAGAATATATAACATTAATAACTATAATCACCATGTTTGAAAATAGGCCCACTTTCAGATTTCTTAATTAAATATTTTGTTTCCTCCAATGAAATAAAATAGGAACACACAAATGATGATATAGAAAAACACAGAGAAGGTATAGAAAAACACATTATTTTCAAGTAAAATGATACCTTAGTTCATTAGCTGAAGAAAAGGCTAAAACTTAAAAATGAGAAATAATATACTTTTATTAAATTTTGTTAATAGTAATCCAAAGAATATTTTAAAAAGCTAGTGTCTGTAGTGCTCTCTACTGGCCTTATCTTTATTGCAATCAGTGTCAAATTTGTAGTCATATATGGCTATGAAAATCATCTATCTCAAAAGACTCATGGTGTTTTAATTCCTATTTGATTTGTGCTTTATGGTTGTTTATGTGAACGTGTGCATATATAATACTCATTTTGAATCTCTGTATTGAAGTCAGTTGGAACACCTCTAAATGTATTTTTAGCAAAGGTCATCACAACTAATTATGTAATATAGAGAAAGTACAAAAAATGGACATAGACTATGAATATAAGGCATAACATTTTTCAGTTCTGTCAATAAACTGTGGCAATGTCTGGAGAAGATAAGTGAAGGCCTCCTGAGAGCAGAATGGTGGCCATGTATATTCAGCAATTTATTAAGGGCAGTGACCTCCATCATGGGCTTCCTTTTTCCTGTCCTGCCTCTAACTCTTCTGTTTTTCAGGGATATCCTCCAAACACTCAAAAAATGTCCCTGGTGCTATTTCAAAGTATAGGAGAAAATTTTATCATTAGTGGCTATGAAAACCATTTTTTTTTCAACAGAGGATGGTAAAGAGAGAGAAACAAAGAGAGATGCATTTTTCATCCATTCTAAATGTCATGTCAAGGGGCTACTGTGGGTCAAGTACTGAAGTTGAATGGTATTCCAAACCTTCAATACTCCATTAGAATTATTGATATTTTTGGAATTATTACTACTCAATTAAAATAGTTATAAATGCTACCAAGCAAAGCACATCATGCAACAAGAGCTGATAACTAGCATGTAAATCAATCTGAGGATTAAGAAAAACTTTTCCAAAAAAGTAATATTTATGGTATAATGTAAATAATGAATATTATATATTAACTAAGCAAAGCTGATGACTATAGAGAGCATTCCAAGGTCAGTTGCCCTATAGAGGAGGCAGAGAGAAGGGTCAATATGGCTAAAGCAAATAGCCATAGAGTTTACCAAGCTAAGGTAAAAATAATGGATCTTGAGAGTTACATAAGGGGTTTTGCATTTCATCCCAAATAAAATGGGAGTTTATAAAGTTGTCTTAACTAAAATGAAATAAACAAATTTGTATTTTTTAATTCTTTGAATACAACATGAAGAGTTTGGGGATACAGGAAGAAGATGTAAATTAAATGGGAGACACATTTAAGAAGCTACTCAGCATTCCAGGTAAGTAAGTTATTGTGACTTGAACCAGGAAGATGGAGTTGATATTTAGAAAAGTAGATGAATCCCAGAATGTTTGGAGGAGAATGATATTGACAGCTCTTGTAAATAGGTTGGATATAAGTAGTGAAGGAGACAAGATTTCAAAAATTTCTCTCAGGCTTCTGACACATATATATGGATGATTGCTGCCAGCAAACATTGAAGAAGGAGGAGAAAAGATGAGTTTAGTTTTTATCATATGAAATTTGAGATATAGGAATGGTTATGTCATCTTTGGTGATGTATGAGTCTGTAGCTAAGAAGAGTTCTGAATTAGAGGTAGGAACTTGGGAATCCATTTGAAGTGTAATTGAAATCATTAGAGTGGAGAAAACCACATAAAGAAAGACTGCTGAAAGAGAAGAGTGCCTCAGATTAAACCCTGAGGAAATCCTACATTCAAATTTCATATAATGCAACAGGATCCACGAAGGAAGCAAAAATAGGTGGAAGGGAAGCTGAGAGGCTTATGGCATACGTGTCAAAGGAACACCTAATAAATGGGTGATGGTGTCACAAGTGCTGCTGAGAGAATAAGAGCAGATTCAGAAATGTCCAGCAGATTTAGCAATGAGAAAGGTCATGGAAGTCCTCACTGAATGCAGTTTTGGCTTAGACGTGAAGGGGAAAGGCAGTTTGGAATGGGTTGCTTAGTGAAAATCAATGAAGTGGGTGGCAGAGAAGTGAAAACTGTGAAGGAATAAAAAATGTGTGTGTGTGTGTGTGTGTGTGTGTGTGTGTGTGTGTGTGTGTGTGTGTGTGACTGGTCT